GCCCAGACTGGAGTGCAATGGCCACTCCCGGCCACCGCAGCCTCGACCTGCTGGGCTCCGGCGATCCTTCCGCCTCAGCCTTCCAAGTAGCTAGAACTACAGACGCACGCTACCACATCCAGCTAATTTTTTGATTCATTGTAAAGATGAGGTCTCGCCAAGTTGCCCAGGCGAGTCTTGAACCTGCAGGCTCAGGCAATCCACTCACCTCAGCCTCCCAAGGCATGGGATTACAGGCTGAGCCACTGAGCCCGGCTCTTTTTGGTTTTTTTCAGGATAGAATGCATAGTTTTCTGTTCGTTGGGAAAGAGTTGACCCTTGAAGACCCCGCCCTTCTTCATCCTCTCTCTGGAAGGCTGCATGTATTGTTCTTACACCTGGAACCCTGGGTTCAATTGCTTGTATGTACTGTACTTGTACCTAAATCCCTGGGTTCAAGAGAGTTGGAGAAATCCCTCTAGAAGCATCTTTGCTATTATCAGTGTTCTTCTTTCCAGACTTGGGGATCCTAGACCCCAGCTTGTCCCAATGCAGGAGTGGTATGTTTTCATTTGAATAAAAGACACCCTAGGGTTTGTTTTCTCAACTTTCAACTCTATATATACAGTCTTCACTTATGTGTTCAGTGCAAAGGAGTACTGTTGCTGGTGTGATAGGCAAGAGTCTCATGAAACACTCACCTTCTCCATGGCCACTCACTGTGTTGTGGTCACACTATGAAGAGTGGGGCACATGGGTGCCTGAGACATGGGTTCTGCCCTTGAGCAGGGAGGGAGCCTACTATCTAGGAAAAATACATGAGAACAGGTGCAATAAATTTGTTTTATCACCCATTTTAACTCAGTAAAAGTTTTAGGAACTTAGTTCTATGTGCTTTTTGGAATATTCAGTTTATGGTTGAGCTGACATGCTTTTCACACTTATTTTAGTTGTGTTATATTTAATGTACAAGTGAGAAAGCATCATGTTGTTGGTGCTCAATCTGTGAGATAAGAATTGTGGGGATAGGACTAGCCATGAATGACTATCTACATTTAATGCAATTAGTGTGATTGGGGTGGTGGGGAACAGGTGGAATGGGGAGTGTCAATGAAAATTTACTTTAACTTCATACACAGGGAGACATTCAAAATATTTACAATAAATCATAATTTTTAAAAGACCACCTAAGATTAAAAAAGGAATTTAAGAAATTTCTGATGGAATTAAAACAGAACGAAGGAAGAACTACTAAATTATATCATATTTTATAATGTGGTAGGCATGATGAAAAGAAGATGCTGGGAAGAAGGGGTGAAATGTCATGTCACAGTGCAGAAATAAAGTCATTCAAAATAAGAGAGCACTCGAGCAAGCAGTTAAAGGAGGTGGGACACTGAACCATGTGAATATTTTTGAGAATAATTCCCAAGCAGAAGAATCAGCCATTGTAAAGCCCAGATGGGCAGACTTGTCTGTCCTACTTCTGTTGAAGCAAGGAAACCAAAGTAGGGGACAGCAGGAGGGTTGAGAAGAGAGGTCAGAACTGTAGAAGGACTCAGGCCACATGAGATAGAGCAGGAAATTGTGAGAATGTTACACCAAGTAGATCCTGTTAACAGATATTTGAGGTGGCGTGATAGGATATGAGGATATTGTTAATGAATCACACTGGCCCTTGTATGGAGAATAGGCTACAGAGCATAAACTGTAGAAGCAAGAACACCTTTTGCAAGACTGGCAACATAAAAATATGAGTGGGAGGAAAGTAGTTCTGACCAGATGATTCCAGGAGTTGGAGGCTGCAGTGAGTCATGATTGTGCCACTGCAGTCCACCCTGGGTGATAGAATGAGACTCCAACTCAAATAAATAAATATGTGAAGAAATATGATACCCAAATAGGCCAGCAAACAATTGGGCAAACTACTGGGAAGGGGGCCTCAGGGCAAAAAGTGCAAAGGTTGTAAATACTTGCTGAATGCTGTAAATGTTTTATCATTGTAAATGCTGCAAAAAGCAACTGACCATTGTTATAAAAAGCAGCTTATTTTAAGAAAACAGAAAGCTACAATCAATCAACTGTCTTGCACAACTTCCCTCTCCAGACCCCTCTTACAGCACATAGCCAACTTCCTTCTCCAAACCCCACTTACGGTACACAGCCTCCCCTGGCACGGCACTATAAAATTCCCCTCCATCCCTTGTTTTGGGGCAGACAGCCTCCCTCTTGCTGTACCACCTGTTGCTCCCTACAACATACTCTGCCTTTAATAAATCGGTTTTTCTTAATTCATAACTGTCTTGGTAAATTCTTTTACCCCTGTGATACTGGCCTCAGCTAGTCATATCCATGACAAAATAAAAATTAAAGAAAAAAACTAAGGTGAGATGACATCTCATTGTTCTGATTCACGTTATTTTGATGACTAATGACACTGAGCATTTTTTGTTTGTTTGTTTGCCATTCGTATGTTTTCTTTTTGGAAGTGTCTTTTCAGGTCTTTTGCCCATTTAAAAATTGGATTATTTGTTATACTATTGAGTTATGTTTCTTATATATTCTGGTTATTAATCCCTTGTCTGACAGAAGAAATATCATTTTGATTAGGAAAAAACACTACTGCTTCTGGATCGTGAACAATTACTGACTACACAGTCAAGAAGGATGTTCTCTTGGACAACCAGAGGTAGAATTTCATCCTCTTCCAACTGTTTGAGGGCCACCCTATATTGCTTCTCCATCTCCTCTGTCATGGCCATCTCTGGAGTCTTTTGTTTCCTGACAATTATATTGAAACTCACAAAAATGGACTTGAAAGGGTTCACTGAGGGGAGGTGGGCCAGTGCTGGTGCCAATGCCACAGGAATAATGCAAGATTGCAACAAGGAAGCAAGTAGAAAGAAGTAAAGTATATTATTCACTTTTCACAGATTGGAAAGGGGGCTGACATT